CTAAGTTGCTGAGGCTGGGTTTGAACTCGTGATCCTCCTGCCTCAGCCTCCTGAGTTGCTGGGACAGGTGTGTGTCACCATGCCTAGCTTAGCAAGACATTTTCCATGTCATTAGTTTTCAAAATCTTTTAAAATGTTTGTATAGTGTTCCATCTTAAGGACATGCATTATTATTATTATTATTATTATTATTATTTGGACCGGGGATTGAACTCAGAGGCACTTAACCACTGAGCCACATCCCCAGTCCTTTTGTTTATATTTTATTTAGAGACAGAGTCTCACTGAGTGGCTTAGGGCCTTGTTAAGTTGCTGTCTAGCTTTGAGCTCACCATCCTCCTGCCTCAGCTTCCTCATCAGCTGGGATTACAGGCATGTGCCACCACACCAGGCTTATATATTTAATTCATTTCATATGGTTGGACATTAAGGTTAATTTTGCCTGTTAGTCTAAACATTACTGTAATGAACAACCTTTTACATCATTGTTCCCTTAAAAGAATTACTAGAAGAGTTTTTTTGTTTTGTTTTGTTTTCGGTCAAAAATTATGAGCTCTTAAGGCTCAGACACAGGTTGCCAGATTGATTCCAGTTTATACTTCCACCAACAGCCTCAGAGAGCTGGCATTCAATGCCAAGAAGAATCTCTCCTGTGAGGCTTGACTAAAAATTGGCTTTGTCCTTTCGGCAGGAAGGTGCTGTGAAACATTCTGAGCAAGGTCCCACATTTTTAGGACTAGGCTTTAGAACAGTTCCGGTTGCAGGGCAGAGACTGGGCTGTAGGGAGTGGAGGGGGGACTGTGTGGGGGCCCAAAGAGTCACCTAAAGCAGGACAGCACAGGGGCCTGGGATCAGAGACATTGTGGAGGAGGCCTTGGTTTCTGAGAGGAAAGGGCAGGAAGTGAAGGAGGCCAGGCTGGCCTTGTGGAGGGTGTCGAATGGGGAGTCTGGGGAATAGGTTTTGCCATCTCAGAAAGTGGAGGAAAGCTGGTACGCCTGCAGTGATCTGGGTTGGATTATCAGAAATTAAGGGACATACCTGAGGATGTACCTGTTGGTGCCACCTGGAGCTCAAAGACAAGGCCAGGGATGGGCTTGGGATGGTGGCGGAGAAAAGACATTCACAGAGGTTTTTTCCTTTCCTTTGCTTCTTTTTCTTTCTTTTTTCTTTCCTGGTGCTGGGAATAGAACCCAGGGCTCTACCACGGAGCTGCACACCAGCCCAGGCCATTCATGGAGGAAGCAGTAGTGGTGTGGAAGAGCCCGGGTTTGGGCCCTTGGCTCTAAGACTTACCTTTCCATCCAGGCTGAGTTTCCTCATCCACAAAGAGGAAAAGTGGAGCAGAGTGGAGGGGACTACTGGGAAGGGACCTCCAGAGGGAGTGTAGCAGCTCAGGGAGGACAGCAGCAGGCTGGGCCTGGGTTTGACTGAAGCTTGGGACTTCCCAGATCTTTTTTTTTTTTTGTAGTTGACAGAATGCCTTTATTTTATTCATTTATTTATATGTGGTGCTGAGGATCGAACCCAGTGCCTCACACATGCTAGGCAAGCGCTCTAACACTGAGCCACAACCCCAGCTCCTTCCCAGATCTTCTCTGGAGGAGGATCCAGGAAGCCCTTACTAGGGAGTTGACTACAGCTCTGCCCTGGCAGGTATAATGCCCAGGAGTACTATGACCGCATTCCTGAGCTCCGGCAGGTTATTGAGCAGCTGAGCAGCGGCTTCTTCTCTCCCAAACAACCTGACTTATTCAAGGACATTGTCAACATGCTCATGCACCATGACCGGTGAGCTGGCTGTCCAAGCAACCATGCAACTGGGCTGCTGGGCTGGGCAGAGCTTAGGGGTGGGGGTGGGGAGGCTGAACAGGGTCCTGAGCAGCTGTGGCCGGGTTCTTTTTTTTTTTTTAATTTATATTTTAGTTTTATTTAGGTGGACACAATATCTTTACTTTTTATTTTTCTGTGGTGTTGAGGATCGAACCCAGGGCCCCGCATGCCAATCCAGCGCGCTCCCGCTTGAGCCGCATCCCCAGCCCTGTGGCCGGGTTCTTCTGAAAGCAGCATCACTCTCCAAGGCCCTAGCTATCCACTGGGGCAGAAGGGCCCAGACCTTGCTGCCTCTCCTTTCCCTTCCAGGTTTAAAGTCTTTGCAGATTATGAAGATTATATTAAATGCCAGGAGAAAGTCAGTGCCCTGTACAAGGTGAGAGGTCCTGGGCGGGGGTTGGCAGGGCTTTGGTGGCCCTGGCTGGGATGAGGCAGAAGTTGGGGAACATGCTTACGGGAGTGAACTTCAGAGTTCCCCTCTGGCCTATAGAACCCGAGAGAATGGACGCGGATGGTGATCCGGAACATAGCCACCTCCGGCAAGTTCTCCAGTGACCGCACCATTGCCCAGTATGCCAGGGAGATCTGGGGTGTAGAGCCTTCTCAACAGCGTCTGCCAGCCCCTGATGAGAAGATCTGAGCTTCCAGACCAGACCCCAAGCCTACCCTTGAGTGTTTGCTATCCCTTGGGCCAGCTCCAGCTGGTCACCCTGAGAGTGGGCCACTGGAGTTAGGTCTTTAGGCCCCTTCCTGGAATCCTCACTGTCTCAGCCTCTAGGTCCCAGCATCCTGGTAACTAAGGACACTGCCCTCTTCCTGTCCTTGGGCTCCCTGTCCTCTCCTATTTATGGGGTCTGACCAACTTCACCCACTCCCCAATAAACTGATTCTCCCTGGAGCGTCCTTACTCTGTGGGAAATATTTTTAGCTTTTGGCGGACACAACAGCAGCTGCACAATCACCCTCTTAACCCTCCTACCCCTGCCAGCAGGTGCGTCCTGGGCTGGGGGGTAGCGGCCCATGGGGGCGGGGCCTGGGACTCTCCCTTACCCTAGTGTCAGCCTCCACGCCTTTCTTCCCAGTGCTGTGTCCATACTAGGTCAGCTGCCAGCTAGGCTGGCCGAGGGCGGGGCGCCCTCCTGGGTGGGGCCCACTGGGGCTGGGAGCTGGGACTTGGGATGAATCCTCCCGGACTACCGAGGATCCACACGGTCACCGGAGGAACCCAAGAGGGGGCGTGGCCTGCGGGTGCTTGGCGCCCTCTTAGCCCCGCCCCTAGCCCCGCCCCACTGCGGCGTTTTAGGGTCTCTTAGCAGGTGGCTCAGCTTGGTAGAGTCGTGGTGGCGTTAGGACTGGGGAAATGCACGGACCGTTTAGACTAGGCCTTTGTCATCCCTTCATTATGGGGAAACTGAGGGCCAGGAATGGCCTATTTCTGAATTTCACGGTACCAAGACTAAGGTGTGGGAGGAGGTCCTGCCTCCCGGCCTCAGGCAGGGAGGGGCAAGCCTCAGCAGGGAGGTTTGGGGCCCGCGGTTTCACAGTGAGTGTGTTTGAACCGAAAAGGCCGGAAACTGTTACCAGTTCCCTTGGCCCGGTTGTGGGGACCCCAACTGCTTGCGGCTGCCCCTCCCAAGTTGGTCTTCCCGGGGCCCAGGCCTCCAGTCTCCAAGCTGCAGAGAACCCACCCATCGCTTGCAGCTGCCCCTTTCCATCCGGCCCGAGGAGAGACACGCCCTCCCGAGTGAACTGGAGAACCCCTTCGCCCCGTCCCCAGACATCCAGGCCGCATCTCCAGGTAGCTGGATTGTCATCCCTCGCCCCACACAGGACCTTCTCCCCCCCAGTGTTCTCACCTCGTGCTAGCCCCATCCCCCAGACTGTCACGGGGATCCTCTGCCCCCAAACCCCCCGACCTCCATCGGGCTAGCGCCTCCGCCGCCCGCAGGAAGACGCGCGGCCCGGCACCGGGTTAGCCCCGTGGGAACGGTAGTATCGAAAACAGGAACCCGGGCCGGGGGGCTGGGCGGGGCGGGCGGGGCGCCCCTTCCCCACCGCAGTCCGCTTCCTGCCCCTCCCGGTTTCCTCCGTCCGACACCCAGGCGGGGCGGAGGGCAGCGGGGCGTCCGGGGTGGGGGAGGGGGCTTTTAGATTAGTCCCCCCGCCCCCTCATCCCTCCGTTTGCCAACCCTTGGCGCGCCTGGGGGCGCAGCCCCCAGCCTGCGGCGCCGGCGTCCGGGGCGGCGTGGCAGGGGAGGGGTTAAGCTGCCGCAGGGACCGCCGCGTGCGGGGCGAGGGGGAGCCCCGGTGGAGAAGGCGCAGCCGGCGGTGCGGAGCCCGGCGCAGGGGCGGGAGGGGCAGGGAGGGGAGGGGAGGGGGCGGCTGCGGCGCGGGGGCGGGGCGGCAGGGAGCTGGGCCGCGGCGCGGAAAGCGGGTTGGAGCCGCAGCCGCAGCAAGGTCGGCGGGCGGGAGCGCACCGAGGTGGCCGGACGGACCGGGTGCGGCGGGTCCCAACAGTGAGTGAGCGAGCGCGGGCGGGGCGCTGAGCGGAGGAGGGCGCGGCCCCTAGGGTCCCTTGGGGCGGCGCGGCCAGGTTGGGGTGGCGGATGGGTGGGGAGTCTGCGGTCCCTGTTCGGGGTAGGAGAGCTGCATCGCTCTGGACTACCTGCGGGAGGGGGGGCTTCTACAGTGCACCCAGTTCTTCCCTGCTACATCTCTCAGTCTGACCTTTCCCTACTAAGTCCCCATTTAACAGATTGGAAAATTGAGGCTGAGAGGCCAAGTGATTCTCAAGGTCACACAGCATGGAAGCAGCAGAGCCATGGGGGGACAGCTCTGGTGACTGCAAGGAAAAGTCAGCTCAGTAACTCCGTAGAGGAGCCCCCCTACACCAGAATGGGGGAGTACGTGAAGGGGCGGGGTACCTTTCTTTGGGGCAAGGCTCTGCCAGGGTCAGGGGAGTCAGGGCGCTGGGGCTGCGGGGCTGGCCCTGGACGCGGATGAAGGGGGAGGGGCGGCAGAATGGGCGTGTGCGCGCCCACAGGGGTGTGTGCCTGTGTGTGGGAGAGTACATGCGTGGAGACATACTGTTTTGCGTGTGTGCACACGTGTGGGGATGTCAGCGCCACTGTGACCAGAAACTAGAGGTTGGTTTGGCTCAAGTGAACAGCAGGTCTGGGAGGCGACCTCGTCCTCGGATTTGAGTTCCAGGGTGGATGAGCTGGGAATGTGTGTGTGCCTGGGGTTCTCAGTGTAGGTGTGCGCAGGGCGTGGGTGCCATTGTGTGTGAGACAGAGGGTAGGAGACAGGTGCTTTGTGGCCCTGGTGTGGGAGATGGGGCTTGCACCTAATGTAGGTCCCTGGCCTCCAGAATATAACTTGGGTATGGAATGAGTGTCTGTCCCTGCATGGGTGCGTCTAGCCCCCGTCAATGACCAAGTTGCTGGTGGTGTCAGGCCCGCAATGGCCACCCCCACAATGCTAGCGCCCCCTTCTGGGCACCCTACTCTGTGTGCGCTCACGATTCGCCAGTGCAGAATGAGGACCCAGGGCTGGGGAGGAAGAAGGCCCTGAGGAAGGGCTGAGCTGGGACCCCTGGGGCCTTCATGGAGTTGACTAGGGAGCGCGCGGTTCCCAGGCTTAGGCTTCCCGCTGACGCCTCCGGGCTGGAGCCGCCCCCCCACAGGAATGTTCCTCGGCACTACAGCCCGCCTCCCCAAGGGCAGGCCCCTGGGGGACGCCTCAGCCCCGCCTCCCCTCGCCGGGCGCCTAGGAGGGAGCGACGCGGGCAGGACGCCTGGGTTCTCTCCTCACCCTCCCATCCCAGGGAGAAATTCCTCCGAGGTCCCCTCAGGCTCTGGGTTCCCAAAATAACCCTGCGGGGGAAGGGAAGCTGTGGAGGGAGGGAAGCGGGAGGGGCGCACAGCCGAGCTGCGGGGTGCTGCAGGTGCTTCTGGGGAGCAGGCGCGAGAAGAGGGCCTGAAGGGGGCTGGGACACCAACCAACTAACCCCAGGAGTCCGGGATGGTCCTCATCCCCGTGGAGCCCTTAGACCCTCCCGCGACTCGGAGGGTGGGCCGGAAGCCTCTCTGCGGGTCCATTTCCCAACTAGAGGGTTGCACCATCCTGGGCCCTGACCGTTTACCCCGGGGGTGGCCGCGGAAGACTACTCCGCCCCTGCCAGCAGGGGGCGTGCCCGCCCCGCCCCGTTCCTGCCCCCGGGCCGCTCCCCTGGTTTGCGCCTCCGCAGACTCCCGCTTTGCCTTTCTCCTGGGACAGGATCGGTCTGAGCCCCTTGGGGAAGCTTCCGGAGCGTAGCCTGGGTCCAGCCCACCAGCCCCGGCAGCCATGGCGGGCACCCTGGACCTCGACAAGGGCTGCACAGTGGAGGAGCTGCTCCGCGGCTGCATCGAAGCCTTTGGTGAGTGGCAGGGAAGGCACAGTCCCGAGCCTAAGCCCGCGCCCCTACTTTCCAGGGCAGACCCTTGGCTAGGACCCACCCACCCACCCTTCCCATCCTGCAGCCTCCTTAATGGAAGCCTGTCTTTATCACAGGGCCGAGAGGTGCCCACGCTTCAACCAGATGAATGTTTCCCTTCTTCAGTGTTCCTGAGCCTGCAGCGAAGGGGGCGAAGGGAGGGCCAGGGTCCCAGACTTTGATACGCGCGGGGACATTATCTCTCTCTCCGAGGGATCCGGAGGAACTTGCTATCTCTGGCCTGGAAGCTGTTTCCGGCAGATGCGGGGGGGGGGGGGCGGAGCGGGTGAAGGGGTGCCCCTTCCCCCCGCGCTCAGGAAATGACCTCTGGATTCTTGACCCCCGGGGAACCCAGGCTCTTTCCGCCCCAGCTGGTTCCCCTCCGGACGATGGACCGATGGGCCGGGCTGGCTTGGACGCTCCCTCCGGCTCCTTGGGCACTTTCTTACCCTCCTTTACCCCACCTTTTCTTTTTAATTTGCCTCTTGGTTTCCGAGTTCTGGGAAAGCAGGAGGTTGGCTGGGTCAAGAGTGCAGCCCAAGGGTCCTGATACCAGAGGGCTGCAGGCTAGGGCTTCAGGATCAGAGCTTGAGGACCAAGGGTCAACCGGCTTCTCTTTGACCCTTCCGAGTTAGATGACTCCGGGAAGGTGCGGGACCCGCAGCTGGTACGCATGTTCCTCATGATGCACCCCTGGTACATCCCCTCCTCTCAGCTGGCTGCAAAACTACTCCACATATATCCTTCGCGGGCCTCGCCCAGGCCCCTGATGTTGGAGTCTCAGAGCTAACTCCACTGCGCAGCTTAGATGGAGAATGAGCCTCAGCCCTAGAGTGCAGGCTCCTTGTATATGCCAGGATCCAGGCTTGGCCCTTTCTCCCTCTAGGGTCTAGGTTCTGCAGCTTTCCTCCCATCATAACTCTTGCTGGCCTAGGTCTTGCCCTCACCCTCTCAGAGTCTAAGATTGGCTTCTGATCCTCAACTGGGTGGCCTCTTGCCTCTCAGGGCCCAGGCCCCACTCTCAGCCTCTCGAATAAACTGCCCCTCCACCCCTACCTGTGCCCCTACCAGAGCTCATGCCCCACCCTGAGCATCTTCCCAGAACCCAGGCTCTGCCCTCAGCCTCTTTCCAGAGGGGGCGTCCCATCCCACGCTGCGAGCCCAGGCCCCTCCCCTAGCTCGCTGAGTGCTCAGACCGCCTCTGCCTCCCTTCTTAAAGTCAGGCTCCTTATGTTTTCCTTAACTCCCCTTTACCTACCAACAATCCCGGAAGGACAACTCCAATTCACTGCAGGTGAAAACTTGCCATCTGGTCAGGTGAGTCTTCCTCCAGGGTCCTGGCCCCTTCTCTGGCTCCTTTCTCTCTGTCTTCAGCTGGGCCAGAGGAGGGGACCTCGTGCCCTTGGCTCATGTGGGTTTTAATTCCTGGCTCTGTCCAGATGGGTTCTGCTGCTACAGGCTGTCTGCTTCTTCCACGAGGCCTTTCTCTTCCTTTTTGCTCAGTGCGGGTGGATGTCTCAAGAGGCTCTGTAACCTTGGGGAAGGAAAGAGCTGGGAGAGGGGGAACCCCTCTGTCCCTCTCATTGGAAGACTCCAGTTCCAATGGTGCTGCCCACCTGGGGACAGAGAGCTTGGGAAGCTCTGCCTTGTGTGACTCCGCCCCTCCAACCAGGTACTGGATCTCAGCATTCCCAGCAGAGTTCGACTTGAACCCAGAGTTGGCTGAGCAGATCAAGGAGCTGAAGGCTCTGCTAGACCAAGAAGGAAACAGGCGGCACAGCAGCCTCATCGACATCGAGAGCGTGTGCGTGGGGGGACCTCAGGGGGGGACTCAACATCCTACACCATCTGCACTTAATAATAAATGTCTGTTGAATTGAATGAGTGAGGGTCATGTCACTCTCTTGCTTAAAGACCTTCCATGGCTCCCTGTCGCCTTTGAAATGCCTGTCTGGCCGCGGAGGCCTTTCACGGCCTCCGGCCAGCTTGGTGTTCCTGCCTTATCTCCCACGGCCCACTGCCCATCCCACGCGCCTCATACCTTGGCTACACCGGGTTCATCGCCTGCATCCTTCCCCACCATGGTGCCCCGCTCCTGTCATTGCCCTTGTCTCCTTCTGCGTGCCACCAAGACTTGGCTCAGGTGTGAAGTCTGCAGGCTCTGAGGGCTTGGGCTCTTCCAGGGCAGAGCTTGTTGCTCCCTCCTGTTTCCCATGGCACTCTGGACAGACTCCTGTGCAAAAGCCTCGGTACATGTGTCACGCTGTCCGGTGATCGTGTGTTTCTGTGTCTGTCTCCCTCAGTGGACTGTGAGCTCCTCGAGGGCAGGAACCGTGTCTTGCTCACCTCTGTATCCCAGCGCCTAGTGCAGTGCCTGGCACAGAGTACGTTGTCCATAAATGTGTGTCGAGTGTGTGACGAGGGGGAGATGTGGAAGGACTGGCGGGACGAGGGCCGTTAGTGCCTAGCACAGTGGCTCCAGCCCGAGTGGCGTGTCTGCGTGAGTGTGGGGCCACAGGAGAGGGGGTGTCCCCCAGCACAGGGCTCACTTCCCCTGCCCCCTCAGCCCCACCTACAAGTGGAAGCGGCAGGTGACCCAGCGGAACCCCGTGGGACAGAAAAAGCGCAAGATGTCCCTGTTGTTCGACCACCTGGAGCCCCTGGAGCTGGCGGAGCACCTCACCTACTTGGAGTATCGCTCCTTCTGCAAGATCCTGGTGTGGCCCCAGGGCTTGTGGTTGGGGTCAAGTGTGGGCTGGGAAGGGGGCTCCAGGAGGGGCAGGGTCTCTGGGGCAGGATGGGTCACAGGGAAGGCCAGGGGGATTCATCAGAGGAGGGCGAGGCATGGTCATCTGCAGGGAGAGGGGCCAGCAAGGTGCTGAGGCTGCTCCACCTGCCCCCAGTTCCAGGACTACCACAGTTTCGTGACTCATGGCTGCACCGTGGACAACCCCGTCCTAGAGCGATTCATCTCCCTCTTCAACAGTGTCTCGCAGTGGGTGCAGCTTATGGTCCTCAGCAAGCCCACAGCTCCTCAGCGGGCGCTGGTCATCACACATTTCGTCCACGTGGCTGAGGTGCCCGCCTCTCCCCTATCTCCCCGGCCTCCCTGCGGCTAGGCAGGCCAAGTCCATCCTTCATACGCAGCCACCGCCTCCTCCCCACCAAGGCTGCCTCAACTCCTGACTCATTGCCTCCCCTCTCCATTGCCCTCTCAGAAGCTGCTCCAGCTGCAGAACTTCAACACTCTCATGGCAGTGGTTGGGGGCCTGAGCCACAGTTCCATCTCCCGCCTCAAGGAGACCCACAATCACGTTGGCCCTGAAACCATCAAGGTGCCTGGGATGGGGGAGGGCCTGTGCTACGCTCCCCAGTGGTGGGGTCTGAGTGCCACCGTCCTCATTTGACAGTTGGGAAAACTGAGTCTTGGAGGGGTTGCATAATGCTGGTGAGGGGGGGGGGACTCACAGGTCACCTGACGCCAAAGCTTGTTCTTTCTCCTTTTAAACATAGTGGGTAATATAGACACAGAAAAGCTCATAGAACGTGCGAGCAGTTTAAAGAAAAATGATAAAGAAGACACCTGGGTAACCACCCTCCAGGCCAAGGTATAGAGAGCCTTGCCAGCGGTGTAGCTTAGGGGCAGAGACCCTAGCACCTTATTCCCTCGCCATCAGAGGCAGCCAACGTTATGACTTTTGTGACAGTGACTTCACTTTTCTTTGTAGCTTTACATCTAATAGGGATTTGGGGTGCCCCTTTTACAACCTCCTATGAGTCAAATCATGTCCTGTGTTATTTTTTGTCTTTCCCTGTCTTTCCACTGGGGTGGGAGAGTCTTTTCATCCTGTCATATGGAGCAGTCGTTCATGCGTTTTTGTTTTCAGACCGTTTGCTATTGTAAGTCCACCCCAATTTATGCATCTGTTCTGTCATTGGACATTTGGGAGTGTGCCAGTTCTTCCTGTTACCGACTATAGAGCTGGCAGCATCCTCCCAGTTCGTTGGCCTGTGCCACCTCACCTCCCTGAGACTCAGTTTCTTTTTCCGTTAAATGTTGGTGGCATCCTGTGCCCAGGGCTGGTGTGCAGGTGTGGTACTCGGCAGCAGATGTTGCTTTGAACTCACGAGCAGGTGAAGGGGGATGATAAGGGGAATTTAACCTTTTCTCCATCCGGTGTCCTTGACTCATCTTTTTCCACATCTCCAGGGTGATGTGGGGAGGATGGTCCAGTGTGTGGGGGGGGTATGATCTTTTGCCCTTTGTTCCCCAGCTCTGGGAAGGTCTGACGGAACTAGTGACAGCTACAGGCAACTATGGTAACTACCGGCGCCGGCTGGCAGCCTGCGTGGGCTTCCGCTTCCCCATCCTGGGCGTCCACCTTAAGGACCTGGTGGCCCTGCAGCTGGCACTGCCTGACTGGCTGGACTCTGCTCGGACCCGGCTCAATGGGGCCAAGATGAAACAGCTTTTCAGCATCCTGGAGGAGCTGGCCATGGTGACCAGCCTGCGGCCTCCCGTGCAGGCCAACCCTGACTTGCTGAGCTTGCTCACGGTGAGGGGGCGGCTCTTGGGCCTGACAGCTGTACCTGGTCCTGGCTGTGGGCTTGGCCTTAGGTTCTGGGTTCTGCTCAAGGAACTGAGATCCTCTTGGGCTCTGGAGCTTGAACTGAGCTGAGATGGGTTGCAGACTATGGTCAGGGCCGGGACCTGAGGTCTCATATTGAGGCAGGCAGGAGGACTGTGGGCTGGCTTGAGGCTGGGCGTGTGTCCTGGGTCCAATTTCTGGAGGTAGATTATGTTCAAAGTCTGGGGTCAAGCTCTGGATTCTGCCAGCAGAGGTAGTTTCTAATATAGTTATTCCTGTCCTCTGAGTGACGTTCTGACCTTGACATTGTACTGGGTCAGGAGATCTAGAGTGGGAATCAGGTTCTGGGCTAGAGCTGGCTAGTTCTGGATGCTGGACTGAGGCTTAAGTGTGAAGGTTTGGAGTGAATTCTTAGTTGCTTCTAGACTGGATGGGCATCAGGGTTGAAACCTGAGCTGGATTCTGGATGAATGTCAGAGTCAGGCTGTTCTGAATTGGCCTCTTGACTAGAGTCTTAGCAGTGCATTGAGTACCCGGTTCAGGGCCAAGCTGTGTTCTGGTCTCTGTGTAGGCTGGTGTGGGGGTTGCTGGGGTGTATTCTAGGCCATCTTTTGTCCTGAGTCTAACTGGGATCTGAGCTGACTGATAGCCTCTAGGTGGCCCTGTGACCCTAGACTGGAGCTCCTGAGAGTCGCAGGGACCACAGCATTTGACCAGACCTGTGTACCCTAGGTATCTCTGGATCAGTATCAGACGGAGGATGAGCTGTACCAGCTGTCTCTGCAGCGGGAACCACGCTCCAAGTCCTCGGTGAGGGAGGGGCCGCCTGCTTCCCCACTCTGTCTGTCCCACCGAGAATCCCAGGGTGTGAGGACAAGAAGCCACCTTCTTCTTCTTCTTTTTTTTTTTTTGATACCAGGGATTGAACCCAGGGATGCTTAACCACTGAGCCGCATCCCCAGCCCTTTTTATTTTTGATTTTGAGACAGGGTCTCACTCACTTGCTTAGGGGCTTGCTAAGTTGCTGAGGCTGGCTTTGAATTTGTGATTCTCCTGCCTCAGCCTCCCCAGCCTCTGGGATTACAGGTGTGCTCCACTGCACCTAGCAGGAGGAGCTCTTTGAAACTACCCTACCAACTTGCTTGCCAGACAGAGGAGTTCTGAGCAGGCCTTGGGCAGGTTCCCCTCTCCTCTAAGGATGCCTCTGTTCCCCTGGGCCTTGGCTCTTCCACCTTTGGCCCTAGTATGGTCCTGTCCATTCCCACAGCCAACTAGCCCTACCAGCTGCACCCCACCTCCCCGGCCCCCAGTGCTAGAGGAGTGGACTTCGGCCGCCAAGCCCAAACTGGACCAGGCCCTTGTGGTGGAGCACATAGAGAAGATGGTGGAGGTGAGACTCCTGGAGCCCGAGCCGTGTGGGAAACAAGTCTGCTTGGATGCTGCAGCTAGTAAAGGGCGGTTTTGCTAGAGCTGCCCTGGGAGCCACCACCAGTGCATGTCCAAGGGCCAGTGCTCTGTCCCTAGGAGGCACAAGGCAGAGCAGGCTAGTGCACGGAGCTGAGGTGCAGACGGGGTGGGAGTGTGGACAAGGGAGGTGCCCTTCATAACACAGGTCTGTGGGAAGAGATGGGCCCTGATATTCCTTTTATTTTCCCCACTCCTGCCCCTCATGTCCCTCTGCGTACCCCCAGTCTGTGTTCCGGAACTTTGATGTCGACGGGGACGGCCACATCTCACAAGAAGAGTTCCAGATCATCCGTGGCAACTTCCCTTATCTCAGCGCCTTTGGGGACCTGGACCAGAACCAGTGAGGAGGACTGGGGGCTGGGGGGGCAGGCAGCCCGGCTCCCTTCCCCTAGGGCTTCAGTTTGCTCTGTAGGGTGAGGCCATTGGACCAGATGACCTTGGCTGGGAAGCTGCCCATGCTGGGAGGGGCTCCTCGATTTTTCGTGGGTGGCAGGAGGCTGCCAGCCTTAGAGGGGCAGCTTTACCTCACTAATTCAGACAGAGGGGGGCTCCACCCAAATCTTGCAAAGACTGAGGCTTGGGGTCCATTGCTACATAAATACTATTTTATTTGTGGAGCTTACAGCTGGCAAAAATGTAGGCAAGTCGAGCTCCTGGGTAGCCAGTTTTAATGAATAGATAAGAAAGGCCTGTAATTAGCAGCACCCACTTGCTTATCCACAATTCATATGCTGACAATTTGGAAAAACATCTGGTTCTCTGAAGTAGGTTAAACATGCCCCCAGCAACCATGTCTATGCCCCATTTTTTGCTGAGCAGGCAAACCCCTAAAGAAAATATCCAGACCATCCTAGGTCCATCATTTATTTTTAAATGTGACCTGTATTTCAAAACTATGTTCTTTTGTTTTTTGGTTTTTTTGGTTTGTTTGGTACCCGGGATTGAACCCAGCATGCTGTACCACTGAGCTCTATACTCAGCCTTTTTTATTATTTAATTTTGAGATTTGAAACAGGGCCTGGCTAAGTTGCTGAGGCTGGCCTCCAACTTGTGATCCTCCTGCTTCAGCCTCTGGAGTTGCTGGGAGTGTAGGCATATGTCACTGTGCCTGACAGTCTGTCGTTCCATGATTTCCACATGACAATAATCTGAGGTTAAAAAAAAAAAATCAGGTAGTAAGAAGTGAACGTCCCCTCCTCCTCCCCACAGGTGAGCAGTGTTAATGGTTGGGCAATATATGTGTCCTTCCAGTCTTTCTTCAGGTTGAAATACATGAAGACTTTGTTTGTGTGGTGTGTGTTTCATGGACAAATAGGATTATAGTATAAATCCAGTTCTGCCAGTGGCTTTGTTGTGGTCGCTTTGTTTCTTGTTCCAGAGCTGAGGCAGCAGCAGTGAGGCTGGGGTCCTTTAAGACCCTGGAGGCCCAGCTCAGCCTTAACTCTACCTCATGCCTGCTTCCCGGGCCTAGTGCCCAGCACCCACTGGGTATCAAGCCCCAGCGGCCAGCTCACAAAGAGGGAAAGCCTGGAAGCTGTGGTTGCAGCTCAGAGGAAGGGTATGTGCTTAGCATGCACAAGACCTTGGGTTCCATTCCCAGGACCCAAAGGAAAAGAAAGACCAGCCTCGCCCTCCCAGGACCAGCCCCGGCTCGCTGCTTCCTCCTGGAGCTCTTTGTTTCTGGAACCTGAGGGTTTCCATGTCGTTCTTGCAAAATCACGTATGCGTTTAAACTTTTTGATATAGTTTTAAGAGCATCTAGGTATCTGTAGCAGTGGGCTTCTCTTTCTTTTTTTTTCAATCACCCTCTTGAAGAAACTGTACCCCCCCACCGATTTTTGTCCTTGGTCTTTGTTCCCACTCCATCGTGGACCTCTTTCTGTGTGGATTCATGTAGAACTACCTCATGCTTTAGAGCAGCTGTGGAGTGCTGCCCCACGTGGCTGGGCCGGCGTTCTCCTACCCATCCTCCTGCTGGTGGCCATGTAGACCGTTCCAGTGTCTTTCTATAATTATACGCCACACTGCTGTGAACATCTTTGTACCCATGCACTCAGGCCAGTATTTCTGTAGGAGAAATTCCTAGAAGTGGGGATAATTGGATCAAAAGATATGCACATTCTAAATTAGGAGAGAGCCTGCCAAGCTGACCTCGCACAAGGTTGTACCAGTCTGCACCCCCATCCACAGCCTGAGTCCTAACTTCCTTGCCAAGAATGGACGCTGTAATAAGCCCGACAGTCGTGCCAGTCTCATTGGCAAACGGTGTCTTGGATAAATGTGCATTTCTTTAATGTGATTGGGGCTAGCGTCTTTATTTATATGTTTATGGGCCATGTATATTTCTTTTGTTAACTGCCTGTTCATATTCTTTGACCAGTGTCCTACTGGGTTTGTTGGTCTTTTTCTCATTGGTTTTTAGAATCTCTGTTAATGGATATTAACCTTTTGCTGTTGGATGTGTTGAATATTTTCTCCCTGTGTGTCATTTATGTTGTCTCTTTCCATATAAAATTTAAAAAAAATTTTGTGTGTCCAATATGTCAGTCTTTTAACTTAGGACTTCTTGAATTTGTGTTATATGTAGAAAGGATTACAACATAATTCTCTTATATCTTGTCAGATACATGTATACTTTTTATTTTTTTAATCAATGTTCTTCATTCAGTGAGAGTGTAATTTTCACCTGCAGTATGAGGTTGACATGAATTGTATATTTTTCTAAATGGCCAGTTGTTCCCAATGCTCCATGGATTGGAAAGATCACCTGGGTCACATTATGGAACCCCCAACATGGTGGGTGGCAGTTCCAAAACAAGGACCAGCCCTGATGGAAATCACTCTTGGTGGCTGAGGACCTACTATGCACATGGACACTTTTATGTATTATCTCATTTAATTCTCAGGAATCCTACCAGGCATAGGAAGTATGTCCCTGCATAGATAAGGGAAGCAAGGCACAGGGAGATTAACCAGCACAGGTCACATGGCCAGGAGGCAGTCTGGAATTTGAACTGAGGTCTGCGTCCAGAATACGTGCTCCTTCCTCCCCTAAAATAAATAAGAAAGGGGGCTCTGCCCTAAACCCTGGGATAGGAGGGAAGCCCTGGAGCAAAGGCGTCTTTCCTGTGGGATTATGCAAGAAAGAGTGAGCCGGTATTGCTTTCCCCAATCTCACCTGGCCCCAGAATGCATGGGAGAGCTCCTGGCGCTCAGGGCTCCCGTCTGACAGGCATTGCGCAGAGCACACTTTGGGAACCACAGGCTGAGATAGATCCCTTGGGGAAGAGCTCAGCCCTCTCAGTTGACCCACCAACTGCAAAGTGTGCAGTCAGGGAGGAGGAAACCCACGCCAGTGACTTGCCAGAGACCACACGACTAGTTAGTGGCAGCTGCTACATCTGTCTAGCTCCTGGTCTAGCTGATTTTCTCTTCCCTGTACCAAAGGTGCAAAACTTGAGTTCCGCGAGGACCTGGTGGCTGGGAGTTCCCCAGGGGGGTGGGGTGGGCGAGGCAGGTGGCGGGCGGTGAGGAGGAGGCCGGAGCTCAGGCGCCCCTCCCCACCAGGGATGGCTGCATTAGCCGGGAGGAGATGGTCTCCTACTTCCTGCGCTCCAGCTCGGTGCTAGGAGGCCGCATGGGCTTCGTACACAACTTCCAGGAAAGCAACTCGTTGCGCCCTGTCGCCTGCCGCCACTGCAAAGCCCTGGTGAGCCCCCCAGCTCCCCAACTCCGCCCAAGCCCCGCCCTCCCTGTCGGCCCCGCCCCTGCCAGAGCCGTCCAGGCCCAGGCAAACCTGGTCAATCCCATCTGCCTCATCTCCTCTTGTTCTGTCCCGGCCCCCGGGTCCCCCGGGGCCCGAGGCGGGTTCTAAGGCTCCAGTCCCTGCCCTCGGGAAGACCTCACCTCTAAGCCCCCGCTCCCAGCACGGTCTGCTCCTCTATTGCAGATCCTGGGCATCTACAAGCAGGGCCTCAAATGTCGAGGTAAGACGGACTGAATAGCGGGGCTGCTGGGCCGAGGTGTTTTGGAGAATTCGTTTCTGGGTAGGAAGTTGTAGTTTGGTGAAGCAGTTGCCAAGAAGCGACGCACTTTGGAAGCAGCGGGGTATGCTGATGAATGTGAAGGGTTGGCTTTTAAGAGAGTGGCTATTTTGGTGAGGCAGCTGCCTAGGAGCAAAGAACTTTTGAGGGGATAGGCTGGCAATTTGAATGAAAGGAACATCTTGGAAGGGACTCTGATTTTGGTGAGGCGGCTGCTCCAGAGTGAAGGAACCTGGGGAGAAGTGCAGGGCTGCAGGATGGGATGGAGGGTTTTCCCACCAGTGACCGTGGTGGGGTTCTTCCATCCCTCAGCTTGTGGGGTGAACTGCCACAAGCAGTGCAAGGACCGCCTGTCAGTGGAGTGCCGTCGCAGGGCCCAGAGTGTGAGCCTGGAGGGCTCTGCACTCTCCCCCTCCCCCACGCACACCCACCACCGGGCCTTCAGCTTCTCCCTGCCTCGCCCTGGAAGGCGTGGTTCCCGGCCCCCAGGTAAGAGCCTCGCATCTGCCTGGCCTGTACAGGGAGGGAGGCCGGGTTGTGGTAGCAGCCTATTAAGCCTATTAATTTATCCAGGAAGGAACTCAGTCCAGAGTTTGCCATTCTCTTATTGCCGTTGGGATTATTAAGAAGCATTGGTAAGGGTGCCAGGAAGGTAGCCACGGAGCTCTTGACCTTCCAAGGCTGGGCAGGAGAGAGACCCTAATTTATAAAGTATGAACTGAAAGAGGCTTCTGTCCTCTTATTTTGTTAGAGGGATTGGCAAAGGATTGGAAGAATCACATGAACCATTTGCCTGCATTTCCTTTTTATTTTTTGGTATTGAGGATTGAACTCAGGCACTCAACCACTGAGCCCCATGCCCAGCCCTATTTTGTATTTTATTAAGTGACAAGGTCTCACTGAATTGCTTAAGGCCTTGCTAAGTTGCCCAGGCTGGCTTTGAACTTGCAATCCTCCTGCCTCAGCCTCCTGAGCCGCTTTTTGACTGAGAGAAAAGTCCCTGGTCCTGATAACCTCCTGGCTGCTTTCTTAGGGTCTCCAGGGTTTTAGATCAGTTGGATGAATGACAGTTTACCAAATGATTACTTTGCTGAGAACCATTTGAACAGCTATGTTAAACTTTTTATTTTTTTTATAGATAGATAGAGAGAGAGCGATAGAGAGAGAATTTTAATATTTATTTATTAGTTTTCGGCGGACACAACATCTTTGTTTGTATGTGGTGCTGAGGATCGAACCCGGGCCACAGGCATGGCAGGCGAGCGCGCTACCGCTTGAGCCACATCCGCAGCCCAGCTATGTTAAACTGAGTTCTAAGGCAGGTGACCATTGCCATTTGCGTTAGCCTAAGTCCTCAAAAACAGAGGCAGGCACAGGGCATTTGTCCTCAAAAATAGAAAAGATAAAACCATTTGCATCGAGCCTTCCAGAAGTGCTGGGGTCTGAAATGTGAAATACACACAAAATTGACATTTAGGCTCATTGCTCAGACAAATCTGTGGCTGTGGTGGAAGCTGCAGCAAAACTAAAACTTAGAAAAAGTGCCTTGAAAATTGGGTCGTTTGGTCATTTAGGGAATTGATTTTTGGTGGATGGATCTGCTTTCCGGATAGGGGGGTGTTTCCGTGAAACAGGGAGGGTTGCACCAGGGATGGGGACTCAGGAGTGGGTTCTGTGAAAACCCTCCCTCCTTGCAGAGATCCGAGAGGAGGAGGTGCAGGCCGTGGAGGATGGCGTGTTTGACATCCACCTGTAAAGATGGTGAGTCCTCCCAGGGTGGCCCTGAGCTCCCCCTGAGGGCAGGAAGCAGGGCAAGGGGCACTGGGAAATGTGCTCCATCTAAATGGTGGCCTGCACCTGGCTGCGGGGGAAGGGGGTGTCCTCACAACTTTTTTTTTTCTTTCCAGCTGTGACTGTATCAAGGACTCATTCCTGCCTCGGAGAAAATATTTGGACCAGAGCAGGGAGCCTGGGGTTCTGGGGCTTGGTGTGAGGGCGGCATGTTCTGAGGGCAGGGTGGGGACAGTGTCCCTAAGGTTGTACAGACTCTTGTGAATATTTGTATTTCCAGATGGAATAAAAAGGCCCGTGTAATTAACCTGGACCATCCGAGCCTAGAATCCTGGGGGGCTGTACTTATAGGGCCAGTCTTTTTTTTTTTAAAAAAACCTCATTTTTTTTTTTTAGAGAATTTTAATATTTATTTTTTAGTTTTCGGCGGACACAACATCTTTGTTTGTATGTGGTGCTGAGGATCGAACCCGAGCCGCACGCATGCCAGGCAAGCGCACTACCACTTGAGCCACATCCCCAGCCCATAGGGCCAGTCTTGTGGCCGGAGAGACATGGGAGATCTGGTTTCATGTGGCTGGAATTTGGGGGAATAGGACCTAAGAACCAGAATACCTTGGAATACAAGAATCTTGGGGAGGGTCTAGAATCTGAGAAGTCCAGAATATTGGGGATTGAAACCTTGAAACTAGTGTGTCTCTGCACCCCAGAACTGCTGGGCCCAGTAGTCACGCATAACCAGAGGCTTGGGCCTGTAATCAGAATTACATTGCTTGACAGGTGGCCCTTCAGCCCCTGCTTGAATACTTCTAGCAACAGGGTGCTCACTGCGGGAATCCTGGGAGGGCCAGGGCAGTTTAGCTGCTGTGGGCAGAGGGGCATGCACAGCCACAGGCCCCTGCTGGGCTTGCGTGCCTCCGGGCAGGTGGTGGGGGCACTCCTCAGTCAGGCAGCCTCCTGGCCTGGTGCTGCTGCCAGCCGGAAGGACAGTGACTTCCAGAGGAAATGCATATTGATCCTGTACTCAGCCTCCGGAGGCCTCTCCCAACCCAGCTCCTCCTTCCCTCCTGAGCTTGCAGCATGGAGGTTTTGGGGGTCACAACTACCTGGAGAAGGCTAATGCCACTTTTAAGGCTGACTGGGTGCAAAGGGCTGGACAGCAGCTCTGAGAATGGGAGCTACCTCCCCAGGCCCCCCCAAATTGGGGGGTACCCTCCAACTGTGGAATTATCCTGAGGGTGGAGACAGACACTCCCAGCTCCTACCTGTGAAGCAGCTCCCCCATGAATGCACCCCCAAGGATCCCCCCACTTTGTGTCCCTCTCTGATTTCTCTAACTCTTCCTGGCCTTTTCCTTATTTTGGGTAACCCCCTTCTCTCTCCCTGTCACATATCGGCTTCAGCTCTATCCCTCATTGGGTCCCCTGCTTTGCCCCTGCCTCCGTCCTCAGCCCCCTTCCGCCCTTCCCCCTCTTGAGGCTGTAATATCCGTTTCACGATTTGGGGGCTGAGTTGCTATAACAACAGACGGCGATTGTGTTGTGGAGAGCAGCTAGCTCCTGCACCGCCCGCCAGCCTTCCGTGCCGCCTCCGTCCCTGCAGCCTGGTCGCTCCCCTTCCCACCCCCAGCCCCAGCCCGGCCTCTTCCTAGTGTGTGTGCGTGCGAGTCTGTGGGCTCAGGTCTGCCCCGCCCGGGATGTGACGTGTGCCCATCTTTTCATGGTTGCATGTGTCGGAATCGGATGTCTGCGCTTCACATTTGCGGTGTGTGCCTGTATGTGTGTGTGCAGGGACATGCACTCTATTTGCCGTGTGTCCCCTCCCCGTGTCCCCACTGACCTGTGCACACTGGAGAAGGGCTTGTGTTCTCACATCACTCGAGTCACAGTGGGAGGGCACCTGTGTGTTTAGGGTGTGTGTCTTGAAGTGCTGGGTCCCAACTGCCTTGGGGATCTGACTCCAGGACCTTTCTGTGAGACATCCCTGTGGCGGGAAGGGCAGAGAGGTACAGCAGCCACCCGGTGACCTCTCTGCCCTTGATGGGCAAAGCCTTGTGTGGCCAGGAAACAAGTGCTCACCTTGATCTCCCTCCCTGCCCAGACTCATTAGAAGGGTCTGAGAGCTGTCACTGCACCTAGCTGTGTGTCCCTCTCTGCTCTGATGCCTGGGTGGGCGTGTGTGAGAAGGCTGCAGGAAGAGGCACGGTGGGGGTGGGCGGGGCAGTGGGCTGTGGGGTCAGAGAGGTGATTTCACATCCACAGGCCCTGACTCAGCAGTTCCCATTCTCTGGCTCCTCCAGTGGCTTTGGTGGGGACGGCTTGAGGGTCTCTCCAAGGTCAGAGCTGGCCTGAAGTCTGGGACCTGTCTTCCTCCCAACTCTTAGGAAACACCTCCTGCAACCTGGGTTCCCCTTTTACCCTCTCACAGTCCCCCTGTGGGAGTGTCCACATTCATCTACTCAGTAATTAATCACTCTTAATAACGCGCTTAGAGGGGCAGGATGACCCTGTGGGCAGGGCCCCTGTTTGTACCTGTTCCCCTTAGCATGCATTTGCCTTTGAGTGTGAAGGCACCTGTGTACCCAAGTGTGTGTGTTCTTGAGTAAGTATGTGCTTCCTGTGGATGTCTTACCATGATGGGGCGTTTCTGCAGGTGTCCCCAGTGTCTCTTTGGAATGCCTGTGTGCACAGATAAGCGTGTTTGGCTGGGTGTGCATATGCATGCATTAGTGGTTTAATGTGTCTTCTTGTACACTGCCTCTGGCTACGAGATGCCAACTACCACCAGCTGTGCAGATCACAGACCCTGCAACAGGAACCAGGAGCCTGGAGTGAGCTGGCAAAATGGTCTATCGTACACCCCCCCCACACACACACACACACCACAGCCTCATTCGGAAGCCAGTGTCCAGCCTACTTAGTGGGACACACACTAGGTGCTAGGTCCACCTTTTCTTGGCTGAGTGAGGAAAGGGATGTCCCCTCCCCAACCTCAACGCAGCATGCAAAGTGATGGAGCTGTTGCACACTCCAGTACCCACCTGAAACTCAGGGCTGGAGGGGAGAACAGAGAAGGGGGCTGCTGCCAGTTTCCCTCAGTGACCACGCATGAGTAGCCGCAATCCCAGCCCCAAACTTACTCCTAACCCAGCCCTGTCTCCTAGGCAGACCTGGGAATCCGGCTTCTGACTCTGGGATTCCCATGAGACTGGGCTGGGAAACCCCAAGCCCCTAGGTTTACCCCACCCCCATCTCTGCCTTTCCCTTCCCCACAGCCTTCCACATTATCCCACCAAGGATCTTCTCTCTTGGGTTCTGGAGGCTCCCAGCTAGGAGGCCCCGGGAGCAGTGGGAGCGGCTCCGGGCTGGAAAAAGCCCCTAGCGGCCAGGGTCCCCTTCCCTAGGCTCCTCTCAGCCGAGGCCCGCCCCCGGGCGCAGCCAGCAGAGGGCGCTGCGGCTCAGGCCCCGCATCGGTCCTGCTCCCTGCGTGCCCCAAGTCCGGGTCCCCGCCTCTCCTTTGGCTTGTCCCAGTCCTGGGCGCTGACACACAGGACCCGCCGGCTGAGGTGTGGAGGGCGTAGGACCTGAAGGCTCGACCCAAGGACGAGGAGCTAGGGCACCTGGGTTTCCAGAAAAGACATTGAGGCTGGGTTGGGAGTCAGCTTGGTTGGGGGCTCGGGCGTCTGGGCTAAAGACCTCGAGAGGCCGGGAACAGCTCTGATGCCCTGGGGCCGGGACGCCAGGGTCCCGCGCGGGGGAGGGAGGTGGGCCTGTGGAGCCGCGGGACTGGTGGCTTCTGAGCCTTCTCATTGGCTGCGCCCCTCGTCCGTTGGCGCAGCGTGGTCCAATGCACGCGCCTGGGGGGCGGGCCCTGGTGCTGATGCTGCCGTCAGTCGGTGTTGCAGGGATGCGGCGGCGGGAGCAGCCGCCCTGACTCGCGGAGCATCCTCCTCAGAGCGGCACCGCGGCGGGGCGGGCGGGGACGCGGCTGGGAACGAGAGAGGCGCGAGGCGGCCAAATCCGCTGGTCCCAGCTCTGCCACCCGCCGGAGACGGGGCGTCCCCGGGGCTCTGATCCCTACTCTCCTGCTCCTGGCGCCCCCAGAACTAGGTACGGGAGGGGGGGCTGCGGCGGAGACGGGTGGGGGGCGGGAGCTAATCGGGGGAGGGGAACGATCGGAGGGGGCGGGGGAGGCAGGAAGGATGGATTGGGGGGCGGGGGCGCCGAGCTGAGAGGTCTGGCTGGGTGACAGCTAGGAGGCGAAGCTGCTGGGGGGGCTTGGTGATCGGAAGCTTCCTGTGGAAGGGGGCATTGGCCCTGAGCTGGGGCGAATGGAGGGGGGTTAGAGGGAGGGTCGTTGGGGGAAGGGATGGGGAGGGAAGGAGGGGCATCCAGAGGGCTGTGAAGAGGGGCTCTGAAGAGGGGTCCCCAGTTTTTGCGAGCCCCAGGAGCTGGAAGCAGTGCTGGGCCAGAGGGGCTGTGAGCTGTTGTGCTGTGAAGGGTCTGCAGGGGAGAAACCAGCGAGGAACTGGGCTTCGTGGGAGGAGAAGGAGAGGGGGCTGGAGAGGAGAGAGAAGTGGAGAGGAAAGGAGCAGGGGCCAGAGGCTTGGTCTGGGGGAACCACTGAGGACTCGCTTTACTGGGGGAGGGGAGCCAAGGGGAGAGGAGGTTATGGAGGAAGCAGAGGGGAAGGTGCCTCGGTGCTCAGACAGGGAGGGGTCTGCGCTGGGGGAGACCCGGCAAGGTGGGGGTCTGAGGGAGAGGAGCAGAAGCTTGCCTGGGAAAGGCTGGGGGTGATGAGCAGGAAGACTGGGCAACGGGTAGGAGGGGGCTATGCTGGGGTGGGAATGCGCTGGGGGAGGCAGCAGGGTTCTGGTCAGAGAGTGCTGCAGGGGGAGAGGAAGCTGCAGGGCCCTGGGCTTGCTCCCCCACCCCTGAAGAGGAGGGGATCATTTTTTCATGTCCCAGACTCTCCCCTAGCTGAAGGAGCAGTCTGCCCTGGGTTCTTTGGGCTGGAGTGTGGGCTCTTGAGCCTTGATGGGCTGTTGGAGGCAAAATTGGCTTTGGGTGGGCTTCTCCTCTACTCTCACCCCCTTGAGTCCTGGGAGACGGCACTTGGTGCCTCGGTGAACCAGCAAGGGCTGGGAGGGGCAGTTTCTCGGTGCCTGGAGGTGGAGGTGGAGGCATTCCAGACCTGGAGTGATGAAATAAATCTTAGGGGGTGGGCCTGGGGTTTTAGCCTTCCTGACTGCTTTGGGGGTTCTGTACACATTGGCTTTTATTTGTGTTGGGGTGGGTGGGGTGGGTG